AATACTATCGTCTTGTCTCTGACGAATTCTTTTCCTTTCCTTGAGCTGCTCGATACTAGTTTCGTGGTCTTTAGACTATTTTTTCTATTCTGATGGGCTCAGAATCAGTCATATCTAGATCGGGAAGAGTTGTGAACTTCCCTAAGACGAAGGCCTCATCCGCTTACAATCTTGATAATTTTTGTGTGAGGCCAGCTTGTTTTGGACACCTATGTGTCCGTTCAAAGCTGGCCGAAATCGTCAACTTTGGTCGTTTAGTCTTCATCGGCGGCATTTTTGGACGCCTGTCTATGGTCATTAATTGAAGAATTCAAGCACAGGAACTGTCATAGACAGGAAAAAAGGAAAAAAGGAAAAAGGGAAATTTCGAAATTGTCGAATTTATTTTTCTGATTTTAGGTCCTTAGATGTACTCTATATCTCCTAGGAGTCAAGGGCCGGTGTACACAGCCGAAATCATGCTTCCCACGTGCTCAACTCGGTCTTATGGGGTGAACCACTACTCCATCAGTAGTTAGTTAAAAAAAAAGAGAAAATAAAAACTCCCACAAACTCCCATAACCAAAATTCTAAACCTAATAATCCTATTTGTGGTTCGAAACCAAAAATCCTCGTCTCCTTGACCTATCTATCATGCTTCGTGCCATGATCTAGTTAACGTCGTCTCCGCTGAGAGCTGGAGACGTACTTGAAAGTGAGGTGGGTGTTTTCCTGCGCAAATTTTGTAAAGTTCTCGAGGCACTTAGGCCCGAGAAGCATCTGGGTAAAGTAGTGATGTGACATTTTCCCTCGAAGTCGACGCGACTGGCTTGTGTGCAGTCGACAGTGAATGAAGTGGAGAGGTGATGTTTCCTCTCCACACGCACACTCCACTGAAGCGGCGAAGTTTTTGAAACGGTGGTGACATGTCGCGAAGTTTTCGTGGCCCACACGGGCTGAGATCAGTTCACGGAATAGCCACCGGAAAATTACCTGCCCGCATGTCTTGCGTTGTCGCATGAGAAGATCCAGATTTCGATAACTAAGTGGACATGCTTCTTCCCACCATTCTTCGAGAAGCGCTTGTCGTTTACGATTCAAGAGCCGACGAACGTACGCCAACGTCACGGAACTAGGCTGGCTCTCTTTGCTTGGCAGTTGTCGAAAGCCAGAGCGTGCAGCTCTATGAGCCTCTTCATTTCCCTATATCCCGGAGTGGGCTGGTATCCACTGAACCGAGATTCGAGCCTTTTCTGATAACGCTCTAAATTGTCGCACGTCGTCGAGACTTGTTGTGGCAGTTCCCGTCGACAGTGCCTTCACTGCAGACTGACTGTCCGTCAACACGTTCATCCGCTACCTGTCGCCACTTCCCCCGTTCTTCCTCTCCAACAATCTCAGCGCAGCTTCCAGGGCCTTCCTCGCCCCTAATATTTCCGCATCGAGCACTTCACCACCATGCTTGATTCCACATCCCTTCAACAGAGTCTTTCCATCTCTCTTCAAGACGAACCCCCATGCTGAGCGACCATGTCCCTCCGACGATCCATCCGGGTAAGCACAAATATCTGACGCTCCCACACTGTGCAAGAGCTGGGTTACCTTGTCCCCCTCCTCTATCCTTGGGCCGAAGCTAGAAAGATAGCATAGCGGCGGCAAAGGCTCGGCGTCTTCCGCGTCCGGGAGTTCTCGGTAAGCTCGCTATGCTCGTCACATCTGGGTCTCTAGATCCTTGGGGGTCCGAGAACAATCCTTGTCCTTCCGTATTCCACCATTTGGACACACGGCAGCACGAGTCCGGAGCGGATGACGGTTGTCTAGTGAGTGGAGCTGAGCTGAAAGGCGTAGTCGGTTCCCTTCCAGAATGATCTTCCCTGTTGGGATACCTCCTTCGCGGTGGAGAACAAGATTCGGTGTCGTTCTCATTACTGGGAGGGCAGCGCGCAGTGCCGTCAGGTTTGCCTTATCGGTCATCTCTCAGAGAATGCTGGTTCGAGATGTGATGAACCCCTTTGGTCGGAAGTTTGAGGCTGGGCCACCAAACATTTGCTCCAAAGGTTACTATGGGGACAATGTAAGTGTCTACTGCTCGAACTAGTACTGCAGGAGCGGCGCATATGCTGGGCAAGCTTCAGAGCTTTGCCACACCACATTGTGAAATGGTGTTTGATGTCCAGTCGCGGGTCTGGGTGTACTTCAAGCTAGCGTATTTGGTCTGCTAGGTCGATAGTCACGCCGTTCACACGAATAGCCACCGGATTCTCGCGTTTTCGTCCGGGAAACTGGACTACCTCCGACTTGTTGGTATCGAGGGAGACTGCGCTGTTACTCGCCCACTATAGAAGAGGATCCACTTCCTTCTGCACAGAAGCTGCCAACTCGGCAATGCTGCGCCCGAATCCTAGTATCCCAAAGTCGTCAGCGTAACTGAACCTCATTGATGCATCTCCGCTTCACATAGGCTCTACCATAGAAATGTGACTAAGATATTAGAAACAGATATGAAGGCAAATAATTTTGAAATGTGTGGTTTGATTGTTTTCACTTTATTTTTTTTAAATTTCTTTTGTCAGGTACTAAGAACCTCAGGTGAGCCAGTAATGGGGATCCCACCATCAAATCAAGAAAACCTCCAATTAGAATGAAAGAAAAAAGTTGTAATTAAATAGCCTGTCCTACATAATTAGAAACTCAAATAGTACATAAATAGATAAGTAATAATAATAATAAATAGGCTCTACCATGTATAAAAGAAAGAGAAGTGGCGATATCGGCGATCCCTGCGAAACCCCACACACTAGCTCTCTCTGCTCAGTTACCTCTCCGGAATATCGGACTTGCACCTTTCGTTGTGCAAGAAATGACGTCGTCCATCGCAGAATTGAGTCCGGCCACCCCTACTCTTGCATCCTTCTCACCAAATGGTTGTGGAGTGCTGCATCGAACGCGTCATGAACATCCAGAGTCGTGAATGTGACCGCTCATCCCTGAGTGCTTGCTTCTTCAATGTCGTGGACTACGCAGCTGACAAGGTCGTTTGCCGATATTTTGGGGAGCGCACCGAATTGTTGGAATCTGTCACAGTCGAAGCATAGGCACTTGGGCAACCTTGTGGTCAAAGGTAGTTTTAATTTCAATCTATGGTGAACTACAGATTGAAGAGGATAATAACAGTTGCTTTGTACATGATTATTATCTCAGCCGATGACACAGATTTCTATCCGTATATCCTTATCCCTTACTCGTATTACGTTCTCGCGCCTCATTCCCGGACGTGTCACAATAGTTATATTGCCCCTTACAAGCTCCTGATTCTGAGAATAGGCTCCGCTTTGTTTCATGTTAAGCCTGCGTTAGACAGCGCAGGCTACAGGTAATTACCGACTTACAAGCCGTTACGGCATCCGAAAACGTCGAGCGTAACCGCGAGATGGACCATCCGCTTCGCCAAGAGTCGTTCCAGTCCCTTGTCCAAGCATGACAAAAGGGCAATCGGTCTCCAGCCCTCAGCCGTCGTTGGATCTCGGTTTTTCTTGCGTAGGAGCGCCACTTCAGCCAGCTTGAAGTAGAATGGATGGATGCCAAGTCTGTTACAGGCGCGGAAGAGAGTGCCAAAAAATGGTCCAACTGTCTTCCAACAGATTCGTAGAAGCTCCGCGGAAATCCCGTCTGCTCCAGGCGCTGTATTGGCGCAGCCTATGGTGCATATGCGTATCTCTTCGTCAGAGACATGGTCGTTCCGGGGATTCGGTTAGTGCTCGGCGCATCGAGTGGCGGTAGATCGTCCGTCGCTTGGTGCCGTGCCAAAAGAGCGTCTCGGAGTATCACTACCCGCTCGGCTAGATCGGAGTACACCTTGTTGGAAATATCGCGCAATAAAGTGGGCGCAATGTTTATGGAATGAAAGCAGAAGTTGACTAAAAATGTGGAAGTGTACGCTACAAGTACAAGTGTGAGTGACACAGACGCTAAGCCACAGCATAATCGGGTGTGGCGTCATCTGGACATAGAAAACCCCCAATAACCTCCTTGTGCCCACGCCATTTAGCCAACCATATATCTATTAAGTAGCCTGAGGCGCTACCATACTACCTGTTGGTACAACGGGGCTCACTTGGTTTAATACCTTAAAAGTGCTAAAAACAAATGGTATATTCTGTCTATCTCTTCTATATCCCACCTCGAGCATTAATATATAAGGTACAAAGTGAAGCTCCATGAATGCATCCGAAGCTGACTGAAAGGGAGGAGACTAGAAGATAAGTAGAGTAAATGGGGATTAAACATTTGTATTTAGATATAAAATGATCAGATGTGTTGTAGCTAGATGGCTGAATACACTATGAACTAAAAAAAAGGGAAGCTTAGCGCCCTAATCTTATCACGTGATGCGCTGACCAATTCTTTTGGAAGTAAACACTTAATACAAGCCCTTTATCCCTACGCCATTCAACTGTGAACCGACATTACCCATTCGAACCTCTTTCATGAACACAAGATCGTATCGGGAACCTAGACGAAATGGAGGACCTGTACGCCCATAACACTCTGTGTCTCCGTTTCCAACACACCTTCCCTTCATGATTGAGTGGAGGGGGGGTATTTGCCTGCCTTGGCTCGACCGAGCGCACTAGCTTGAACACTACAGTCGGTGTTTTGATCGCTTCGATTGGACGCGTCTGGTGCTCTTTCTTTGCCACTCTGAGGGTTGAACGCAGCTTCTTCGCATGCACCTATCGTTGCTCTAGAGTCACGGCTGCACGTTATTCCGTGCGAGCCAGCTTGCATTCCAGAGTCCACTAAGGCGCACATTTGCTTTGTCTTGTGTTCCTTCGTGTTCCTGCTGCTTTTATAGCGTTAATAAAGCTGGAACAAAAATGGTTGGCGTATTCGTCCGCGTTGTGAACCGTGTCTAGGACTGGTGGCTGGTGAGTCCACCGCCGTGGATCCTGAATTCCAAGTCCAAGCGAAAGGCCAAGTCTCACGGCAAGCGAGCCGCCGAGTTAAAGGTTCCATCAAGAATGCACCGCTCGCATTCTTTGGTCACAACCCGGGCGGCTAAGCACCTCACTCCTCCCCTACCGCACTCTGATAGTTGTCATGTATCATGGATCTTTACATTATCTGAAGTACAGAGGATTTCATTTCTTTAAGGGGGAGTTAGAACGTTGATAGAAATACAAGTTTACTCCTAGTCTCAAGCTCTACACACATATATATTGTCGTAGTTGGAGCCACGAGACATCCGTGAATTTCACAGTCAACATTTATTATTTTATTCTTACTAACGTGCACAAGAAACCTCACCGCGTTACGGCAAGAGCGAACTTCGGAAAGTTTCCACGCGTTACCCTGACCGCCGAAGGCTGCTCGTCTCTTTTTCCGGATCCAGAAGGGGCTCGTCCTTGAATCGGTAGATGGTCGCTGGTTACGCACTCGCTGCGATCATCGCATGCTTGGGCCCTGTTGATGTTGGTCCAAGCAAGATCCAGCGTGTTCCCGGCTCAATGCGTTGGCTCGCCCACAATCAGTCAAGTAAGATTGTGGCGTTCCGCCTATCTCTCGATTTCAATTCTTTGTCCGCGTGAGCGGGCAAGCTCTGGTTGCTACGCGCAGTGCACCGCATTGAAGTCGCCAGCTAAGAAGTGGTCGAATGGCTGCCGGGTCTTTTGGGTCTTTGTACACGTTGAGAAACGTGACTCCATTTACCATACCCCAGCAGTAGTCCGCCGTCGGGGGATTTACTTTTATTTTTATATCATTTAATGTGTATGCAGCTATCTAGCTATGACGCATGACCAGTGCCATGTATACATGTGGGATGACTCTTTTGGCGTTAGAGACACTCATACTCTGGATTTCATTTGCAAATACCACTATGAGGTATATTCGCTTACACAAACAGTCGACCCTCCTCCGTAAGTACCCACCAAAGGGAATTTCGTAACCTTTGGTCATCCATGCATACCAGCGCCGCGAAAAATGTGGTTGTGTTTTGCCGGATTTGAACCAGCGATCTACTGTCTCGAGTGGGATATGTGTCCAAGCTATCCAGACTCTACTTGGCAGACCGGCCAAGACGATGTACCACCGCACCATACAACCATGGCGATGTTTATAGTGTCGCCTGCACTCTCGCAACCGAAGTCTTGGCGCGCAGAAAGCTCAATTTGTAAAACTCCTTTCTAATGTTCGAAGTTTCACACCCTTCGAGTTTAAACTTCCCTTCGCATCATCTTGTTAACTTGTCCTGAATCCTCTCACGTCCATCCCAAAAGAACAGTCTCTCAGATTTGTGCGCCGCGCTTTGTGTCCTCCTTCGGATGTAATTATCGGCGTGGGCATGTGTTTGGTAAACGGCCGAGGCCAGAGAAAGTCGACGAGAGGTGTGATCATTGGAACGAGGATGTATTAGGTCGTACTTGTAGACTTGATGAAGCTTAGGTAGGATTCGATCCTTTTGGGAGTGAAAATTTGACGTGGTGGAGTAGTTTGAATCATTGTCTCGAGGGCCAACTTGTTCGGTGTTGCGAAATTTGACTGAACTTGGCTCTGGGAGAATATTTTACTCTCGCGTTCGTTGAAGACATCGCGTCCAGGTGTTCAGTCTTGCCCTCCGCCGTCTGGGGATCGTAGGGAAATATTCGACTTGTCGGAGGAATTCTCCTGTTGATTAGTGTATAGGTTACTGCTCTGAGTCGAACGTTTTCGCCGCCAGGTGGTATACGGCAGTAGGAACCAGGGTGTGAGTTTGTCTCCTTTGTAGATTTGTTCCACAAACGCTCTTGTATTAACACTACATCTACGCCTAGTTCGTAAGCTCGGGAGTAAAAACCAAAGCGAGCACTCCACGACCAGTGCAGATTCTCGCGTGAAAGAGCAATAGCCACGTAGAAGACAAAGAGCCGGCTTCGACAACCCCTTACACGCCAAACCAAGGCGATGACCTTCTAAACTCCAACACTACTGAGGGATCCCGGACTCAGGCAGTGAAGAAAAACGCAAAGCCCGTAAATTCAGCGGCGACAATATCGCCACCAGCTAATGGATCCTAGCCAAAAGTAACGGTGCCTACACGAATGCCGAGGCCAAATGCCTCAGCTCCAAATCCAGCTCGACCAGACGAACGCGTGTTCCTGCGGCTCAAGCCTGACCATCCCTGAAGACGCATGTCTCATTACATCAAAATCAACCTCGCAAGCAAGCTACACCTGGCTTTTTATACAATCAAGCAGGTTACCATCGTCAACTCAGGGTTTGCGATACAAGTTGAAGGAGATGGAGCTAGAAGCGTGCTCTTCTCGGGCGCCGTACTCTTAGAGAGTACGAAAATGAAACTGGAAGCAGCTTCTAACTGTATCCCGATTGTGGCTCCGAATATACCTCAGAGACTCTACACACTGGAAGGGCCAGTTGCAGTAACAACAGAGATGGTAATAGAAGAAGTGTCCCTATAAACGTGTGCTATACCAACTTCAGCTCGTGCCTTCGCATTCAGCATGACCAGGCCATCGACTGATTGGGTGCAATACTTTGCGACTGGAAAGGCAAAACTAGGCGAACGGCAGTTCGAAGAAAGCGGCCGGCTCCACGAACAACAACGTAGGCCAAAAATAGCTTAGTACAACCGGTGCTGGGAATATCATCCTAGAAAGATCTGTACTCCTGTGGAACGATGTGTGCATATTCGTTTATTGTCCCAGTGAGTCTGTGACTATGTAAGGACGTGTGGGTCCTTTCCTCCTACAGGCCGGGAGTATCTATGCTTCACGTAGTCTACTCTCTCCAATTCCTCCTTCACGACATCTTTCCAGTAGTTATAACCCCATAGATCTTCATTCGAGTACACACTAAGAGGAGTCATTGTCCCGTCATTACATCCCTCCTCCAGCCAACGAAACATTGGCCACTTGCAGTTGTGTAGCTGCAGGGAAAAGTCCCAAAATCCACTGGGTGCGGGCCTCTCCTATGACGAAGAGGCCGACCAGCCGGGCGCAGCAGGCCTGTGTATACTTAAGTACGTCTCTCAATCTTCCTAGCCTCCTCCTTACCCCTTCCCTGATTCATTCCGCGGGACATATCTAAAGTCGTGAAAGGATGTCAGAAAAGTCTTGGTCGACAGTGACTGCCGTGAAGGAGCCTAGCCTAGCATCCAAAAGTTGTTACGGACGTGGAGTTGTTGAGTAACTCATGTATTTCAGACACACTCCTAGCTAGTGTGTTCGCAAGGTACGATCAGTAGGGACAATAATATAGACGAATCGAAATCTGCTTTTCTTGAGGGCGGAAGGGTCTTTTAGTTTGCTTCCGTGGGCTTTTTGTTCGCCCGCAGCTGGGTATTACATGTTGTAATATAACGAGGGCTTCTCTGACTACCGTTGTAGCGTTTGGTGTCGCATTATCTTTCCTCATTCCCAGCATCATTATCATCGTCTTGGTCTTCTTATGGGTTATCGGAAGCGTATCTTTGACGGAGGAGGAGATAACTCAGCTCAAAGTTAAATAGGTGTTACTCAATCTCGGCTCTGCAGACTCTTCAGTGAGAGCTGGAAGTTCGTAGGAGACACCACTGACAGGTGTTAAGTTTAGTCCCCCGCTGACCGGAGAAAGCTCCTGCGATGGTTTTACACCGTTTCTTGGCATTAGTGGATCTAAATTAATTGTAAATAGTAGGGCCGATATACTGATTGGATATTTACTCAAACTTTATCGATCCTTTCTTTTGATGTTTCCGCTTTATTCCTACTTAGGCTTTGCCAAATTATGATGATCTTACATTGCAAGAGTCGAATGAGGTCGGTAGAACGACACCAGGATCATTGTAAACCCCACCCGATCCACAATTACCTCATTTGAATCCTATATCAAGGTTTATTCATAGAGAATATAAAGCTTCCAATGATTCCTATAAACCTGGATTTCAATTTCCACAAGCAGTTTTGACTCTAGATCACAGACAATTGGTGTAATAAAACTTCTCGGTCAGTAATCAATTATTCAATGACCAAATAAGAGAATCTAACCAAGTGAAGTAATACCTTAGATAGATTCCACATCATGAAATGTATTGTGGCGTTCCTTTTGATAAATCCACCAGACTCGAAGGTCAAGGATCGCTTAGTTATAACGGGTAATGAAATGGGAAGCCCACACTATGGCGTCTACCTTCTCAAGTCTGATCGACTTTTTCCAATACCCAATCCCGATTCACACATATACATGACTGAGAACCATATCGATGGACCTGGCACCTACGTTAGGGCCTATTGCTCAGAAAGATGGAGTAAAAATGAGATAATTGCGAAAATCACGAGCGGCCTGGAAGATATAACAATCGATGACGAAAATCGGATTCCCGAAATGAGTGCCATCCATGAAAAATGTGAAGAAATTATAGATAAAATGATAGAGAAATCATCACCAGAAGAACCGGTCAAATTTTCTGAAATCTTACGCCACGAAGATTGTTCGGAAAGCGCAATTGTCAGCTTAGCCTTTTTGGATAAGTTCAGTGTCTATGGAGACTACAGTAACATGTTTTCGAGGTATAGCATTGATGGGAGAAATGTTATGGCTGATGTCGCCTTAAAGATTGAAAATATAGTTCTCAACGGAGAGCTCTTCATGGAAAGGAGTGTTCCTCCAGGACAGCAATTCCTGGCTTGGCATCAGGGAGATTTACATATATTTATAAGAACAAAGGAGGAGAAAACGTGGCACCTAATAACTGACATTACTTGCAGATTTGCGAGCGGATTATATATCACCAAATATGTACTGCATGAAGATGGTCCCTTTTTGCCTCTCCTTAATCTGATAGAGGATTTTGTAGACCAGGCCGATAAAATCACTCTCTCCAATTGTAGTGACAATTCAGTAGATTGTGAGGATGAATCCCCACTACAAAATTTTCGTCGCAAAATTGCCGAAGTAAAGCTTGGAAAACTTACACCAACGCGTGCAGAGGGCAACATTGGCATTTTGTCGAAACCTTTAAGTATTGTTAGATGGGTGGATGAAAAATACATGTAATTCAGATGACCCGCTATTTTGTAGTGAGAGAAAGATAGTCGACAAAAGACAATCTCACGCATAACTAGTGGAAACCAATTTTATCCAACATCAGAATTTATGCTACTTGCGGTTATTTCTTAAATTGCTTTACGTCGTAATGTCGCACAACACTAGAATACGAGGGCCAATGCCAGCTACCTCCGTCTACATGTGTAGAGGTATGAAGGTTAGGGTCGCTGCATGCATGTAACACCATGATATAAAATATATGTTTCTATGGGTGGAATTATTTCAGTGGAGCTATACCAGCACAAGGTGTATCCTGATGACTAACATATACAATCACTTACCAAACGTCTTGCCCGGTGCAAAGCCGGCGAAGACGAATTCTTCACCTTCTAGTGGTGCCGGTGATACCGCGCAGTGTGTTCTGCACATCTGGGATAGCCAAGGAGAATCGCATCTGAATCGAAGTCGAAAGCAACCTCAGCATACCTAAAGCCGAAAAATTCTCATCAATGTCGGATCTATCATTCTCAAGCGAGTCCTCCACCTCAATCTTACTACACCGCTTCGCCTCAAATATAGATAATGGCGTTACTCCAATTGCAATCAGGCATTTGCCTCATCAAAAACCGGCCATCTCCTACTACCAAATTACAATGCTTTGTGTGATGGGCTAAGACTTTCGGTCAGTGCACGAAAGCAATGCCACATTAAAATGTTTATATTTTCTATGCAGAGCAGGAGCGGGCAGCTACAGCGCTTTATGACTACGAAAGCTATTCCAGATCCCTTGGCTTTACATGTGCTCTCGCTAGTACTTCAGTACGCTACGATCATTTACCTACTGGCTTACGCCTACGAAACAAGGATGGGCCCTGTAGTTATACACAGCCCAGCCAGAACTCAGCCGGACCTAGCCCGTAACACCTTGTATATCCACGAGAAGGACGTTAAGTCATAATCTATAAAGCTCGGGTCCTGATCTATGAGAGACCGTTGCTCTAATGGGGCTTCATATCTTGAGGGAGGACAAGAAGCTGAGACGTGAGACGAACGAGCTCGCAAAATGGCATGATAGGACGCACATCTTCGGAGTGTTTTCGACTTAAGGGTATCTATGGGCGCAGAGTCAACGATTTCGGATCGTGCAGCCGACACTCTGAAAACAGACAACGATGGAAGGTGTTTTGATCCGCCTGCTGGTCGTTATCTCCCTGAACTAAAGTCTGGGTAGCCTAGACACCGAGCTCACCCGAGAATGGGGAGTGTGAAGCCATATCTATTGCAGCGACTATGTACAGGATGACAAAGCCATGTTAGGGTAGCCAAAGGGTTTTCCCGATTTACCTTTGGTGGAGATCAACGGTTGAAGCAAGGGTGAAAGTCTCCAGCACCAAGGTCTCTAGTGGTATCAGCGAATGCACCCACTACACGAGTGGGCCAAATCTCAAACCGAGTCGTCGTCATATGTAGTTGCCGATGAAGGACTTATTTTCTCCGTGTCATGCTCTACGAGTGCAAGACTCGAAGGCCAAATACTGATCACCTATACGCGGTATCCTCTACGTACCTGGTAGTGAAATATTCTCCCAGAGCCAAGTTCAGTCAAATTTCGCTATTCCGAAGAAGTTGGCCCATGAGGCAATGAAGCAAGACTCGCTACGAAATCAAACTCTCGCACCCTACGAGTTCGATCTCCATAGAAACTGCATCAAGTTAACAAGTACGACCTAGTGTATCCTTGTTCCGATGACCACAATTCTCATTGACTTTTCTCCGGCCTAAGCTGGTCACCAAATATACGCCCAGGCCGGTATTGACAACCGACGGAGGAAACAGAGCGTGGCGCAAAAATCTGGGAGAAATTTTTTGAGATAGACGTGAGAGGAATCAGGAAAAGTTTAGAAAATGACGCGAAGGATGGTTACGTTCTCAGTGGGCATGTATTTCTGATTGTAGGCAAGGAGTTTCACAAATTTAGCTTTGTGTGCGCCAAGACTTCGCTTGAAAGAGTGCAGCTGACACTACAAACATAAGTCAACGATGGAAGATGCCGTGGTAAGCTTCTTAGTGGTGTTCTCTGGTGTAGTTTAAGTAGCCTGAGCACCTACTCCACTTGAGAAGAAGACTACTAAGGCCATTGGGGGGGGGTATATTCTCAACATCTGTCAGTGGTGTCTCCTACAAACTTTCATCTCTCACTGAAGAGTCTGCAGAGCCGAGATTGAGTAACACCTATTTAACTTTGAGCTGAGTTATCTCCTCCTCCGTCAAAGATACGCTTCCGATAACCCATAAGAAGACCAAGACGATGATAATGATGCTGGGAATGAGGAAAGATAATGCGACACCAAACGCTACAACGGTAGTCAGAGAAGCCCTCGTTATATTACAACATGTAATACCCAGCTGCGGGCGAACAAAAAGCCCACGGAAGCAAACTAAAAGACCCTTCCGCCCTCAAGAAAAGCAGATTTCGATTCGTCTATATTATTGTCCCTACTGATCGTACCTTGCGAACACACTAGCTAGGAGTGTGTCTGAAATACATGAGTTACTCAACAACTCCACGTCCGTACGACTTTTGGATGCTAGGCTAGGCTCCTTCACGGCAGTCACTGTCGACCAAGACTTTTCTGACATCCTTTCACGACTTTAGATATGTCCCGCGGAATGAATCAGGGAAGGGGTAAGGAGGAGGCTAGGAAGATTGAGAGACGTACTTAAGTATACACAGGCCTGCTGCGCCCGGCTGGTCGGCCTCTTCGTCATAGGAGAGGCCCGCACCCAGTGGATTTTGGGACTTTTCCCTGCAGCTACACAACTGCAAGTGGCCAATGTTTCGTTGGCTGGAGGAGGGATGTAATGACGGGACAATGACTCCTCTTGTTAAAGATTTAATATGTCCATGATTTTGAGGTTGATGGTAGCCAGCAAGACGAAGAATGTCATGATCTGTCATTTAAGATAAAAGGGCGAAAAGGCATAAATTTGGAAGATAGGACCAAAATAGTAAGGGGTGATTAGCCCAGAGTGGGTATAGGCATTATGAATGTAGTCAGGAGCATCATCAGATGAAAGAGTAGTAGTGTCATAGCTATATAGCTGAATAGACTATGAATAAAATAAAAAAATAAAATAAGAAAATGAATGAGGAGTCAAGTGCGCGATATATATATGTATACACGTGTCCTATTTCTGTCAACAGTAACCAAAACCCGCACTGCCCTAGACATCATCAATCTCTATGATCCATCGCAATCCTGAGTATCAATATGAGTTACTATCACACGATATGTTTGTACGGGTCGATGTCAAGATAGAAATGCTAACACCATTGGTTGGAGATCAACGGTTGAGAGATGGGAAAGTCCCCAGCACCAAGGTCTCGATTGGTATCAGCGAATGCACCCACTACATGAGTGGGCCAAATGTCAAATTGAATTATCGTCGTATATTATTAATTCATTTTATTGTCCTGTCTGAGTCTATGACTATGTAGGACATGCAGGTCCTCTCTGTCTAAATGCCGAGGATACCTATACCAGTAGTATATCCCCTCCTATGTCTTCCATACAGCTTCCCTCAAACAGTAACCCCCTCATAAGTCCTCATTCAATCATACACTTTGAGGAGCCCTTTGCCCTTCATTATCTCCCCTCTCCAGCCAACGAAACGATGGCCATTTGCGGGTGTATGGCAGCAGGGAAAAATCGCGAGAGCCACTGGGTGCGGACCTCTCCTAATATCGAGATTAGGGCTAGATCCGAAGACATAGCGACACTTCTGAAGCATTGGAAGAGGCCGGCCAGCTGGGCGCTGCAGACATGTGGGTACCTCGGGAAATTCACACTCTGCCTTTCTAGCCTCCTTCCAACTCCTTCCCGAAGGTCGTGCTGAAATGTCAGAAAAGTCTTGACAGAGCGTGATTGCTGTATGGCAGCTTAGCTCAACTTCTTTTGTGCCGTCCAGGGCGCTGGGGAGTGCCGTTGACTCATCGACAATTGAAGTCCTCCTGGCTAATTAGCCGAAATCTCAGTCTTGGCGCCCACAAAAAATCCAAAGTTGAAAACTCCTCAAAAATGTCGGTCCCAGTATGATCTTCAGAGACCTCTTTCCCCTCTCGCTCCACATCTCAGCCGTCTGTCCGGCCTCAAGATGTATAACCCCATTAGAGCAGCAGTCCCCCACAAACCATAACCCCCAACTTTGTATATTATGACTTAATTTCCTCCTTGCGGGTATACGTAGCGTCGTAAATTTGTAGTGAGTGATGGCCGGTGATAAATGAGGCAAGCTCCTGTTTGCAATTGGGGTGACGCCTTTATCGGTCGTTGAGGCGAGATGATATGTGGTTAGACCGGGGTTGAGGACTCAGAAGATAATGGTGAGTGCTGCATGGTTGAGAAGTCGTCAAATGGAGACATGCATGTGTTTGCTTTCTACTTCGATTCGGATGCGGTTCTTCTTGGCTATCCCAGATATGCAAAGCATACTGAGCGATTACACCGGCACCACTGGAAGGTGAAGAATTCGTCTTTGCCGGCAATTATCGTCGTATTTAGTCGTCGGGATGAGGGTTGATTTGGGGTGAAGAAAAAGCCACCACAACTTCGCAGTGGTACTTGCAAATGAAATCTAAGGCATGAGTACTCCTGTAAGTTGAGTGATCTATTATACACTTCCCTGATATCGTGTCATAGCTAGATAGCTCCATACGCAATTAAAATCTGATGCAAAAAAATTAAAAGACTCCTTTTAACCCCAAAAGATAGCCCGTGCGGCATCTCCTATTAACAGCAGTAAGCAACGCTAGCACAGGAGTGCAGGCGACACTGTAAAAACTTCCATGGTTGGATGGTACAGTGGTACATCGTCTTGGCCTGTCTGCCAAATAGAGTCTGGATAGCTTGGACACATATCCCACTTGAGACAGTAGATCGCTGGTTCAAATCCGGCAAAACACAACCACTTTTCTCGCGGCGCTCGTATGCATGGACGTCGAAGGTATG